TAATCGGCCTCTACAAAACGCTCATCAAATGCACGAAATATGTCGAGGCGGAAAAACTGTCGGAGAGATGTATGAAAATAGGTACGACCGCGCAAGGAACTTTCGTAGAGCATAAAAATCGAAAATGTAAAACGTTGCTCGTACCAAGGACACTCTTCCTTTTCGTAATATGCAAATGGACGTGATCACATAATTATCTCCGTTATTAACTATTTCCCCTTCGTTCCTGCCTTGTTTGCAATAGTAACGCGTTTGCACCTTAAATTTACTCAGCACTTTTTTCCTGAAATTCACCTCGTCCCGTATTTTCAGCCAATACAAACAATGTCCTGCAAAGAATCGTGCCGTATAATAAACCGACGTGTCCGTCACTCAAGTGATGTCGATCAATGGCGCAATAAAAAAAAAAAAAAAGCAAAAGAGCTACGCTTGCGCTTGATCTCTGCATCGTCTGTTATTTATCGTCCGCAGATCCTGGACATTATAAAGTCCGGCAGATGCGGATGGAAGCGCTTTTCGAGATCGGTGAGTTCGGTCACAGTCTGGTTCACGCCTACGAGGGCTTGCGGCGGCACGGGATGACCTTTGAACACGGTGTCTATCAGGCAAATGAGACCATCGAAGATTGCATCGGCCGGAACACGTCGCCCGTCGCTCTGCTGCTGCTCTACCCGTGGATACGACATTTATGGGCGCACCGTAAACTTCTAATGGGCAAGCTCGAGGTGGAGGAGGACGAGCTCGCAGGTGCATACATCTGACGCAAGGATGGGCAAATAATAATCGCGTTCGTTCGCGATATCGTTCGCAATCGGTTTCCACGCGACGGGAGTAGCGACGAGAGAAGTCTCGTCTCGACAACAGTCGTCTCGGAATAGCGCTCACTTAACTTTTACGAGGCAAGATTCAGTTTTCCCGATGGTTTTCACGAGCAAGAAAGCATCTCAGTTCTTTTTATCAAACCTCGAGCTTTATCGAGGTGGGGTAACGATCGACGGGGGTAACTGCAAAATAAGTATCTAGCGGTCGATATTTCTCGGCGACATAATCAAACACTTGCCACGTTGTTGAACGTTGCTCTCAAGAATTTTATTATAACATATCGCTACCGTTGTTACCGTGTGTGTGTGTGTGTGTGTGTGTGTGTGTGTAGTTATTAAG